AAGCGCCGCGTTTATTCCCAGCCGCTGCTGGATGACAAACAGTTCGCCAAGCTGCACACCAAGGTGAGCCCCGATTCCCGGGATCCCAAAAAAAAACCGGGAAACACCCGGGAAACACCGGGAAACACCCGGGAAACCCCTGGGAAACCCCGGGAAACACCTGGAACACACCTGGAACACACCTGGGAAACCCCTGGGAAACACCTGGGAAACACCCGGGAAACACCGGGAAACCCCTGGGAAACCCCTGGGAAACACCTGGGAAACACCTGGGAAACACCTGGGAAACCCCGGGAAACACCCGGGAAACCCCGGGAAACACCCGGGAAACCCCGGGAAACACCTGGGAAACACCCGGGAAACACCTGGGAAACACCGGGAAACACCTGGGAAACACCTGGGAAACACCTGGGAAACACCTGGGAAAACGCTCCAGGCCCCAAATTCCGGGATATCCCAAGGAATCCCAATGGAATGGGAGCGGAGGTGAGCCTGGAATTCCCATGGAATTCACCCGAAAAACTCATGGAGAGCCACGGAATTCCCAAAGAATTCCCATGGAATTCACCTGGAATGCACCCGAAAAACCCACGGAATTCCCATGGAATTCCCACAGAATTCCCACAGAAATCCCCTCGAGGATCCTTCGAGGCCTGGAATTCCGGGATATCCCAAATATTTTCAGCATTCCCAGAACTAGAATGGGAGAACTTGGAGAGATTCCCTTGGATTTTATTCCCTGGGCTGGGATTGAGCGGGAAGAGCATCCCAGGGCTGCGGAAATCCGGGAATTTTGGGAAAGATTTTTCCCCCCCTTTTCTCCCCCCTTTTTCCCCCCTTTTCCCCGGGCTGCTGCTTTTCCCGAACCTGTGGAATTTTTGGGAAGGAGCTTTTCCCTTTCCCCTCTTTTTCCGTCTTTCCCCCCCTTTTTTTTTCCCATCTCTCCCTCTTTTTTTTTCCTTTCCCGTTTTTTCCATCTTTCCCTTTTTTTTCCCCACTTTTTTCTTCTCCCTTCCCCTTTTCATTGGGCTGTTGCTTTTCCCGAACCTGTGGAATTTTTGGGATGCCCCTTTTCCCTTTTCCCGAACCTGTGGGATTTTGGGGATGCCTCTTTTCCTTGACCTTTCCCGGGATTTTTGGGAATGCGGGGTAGGATGAACCCGGAGCCCAAGGGACAATTCCAGCCGATCCATCCTCATTCCCTGCCCGCTGGAGCGATGCGGGCACGGATCGACCTTTCCCGGGAAAGGCTGGGATTGGAGCAGCTCCCGGGAAAAGTTGGGATTGGAGCTGGATCCAGAGGGAACGGGAGCAGGGATGGGATCGTGGCTGGCACGGGGACACCGGGACACCCCGAGAGCCTCGGGAACGGTACCGGATCCGCGGGAATATCGGGATAATATCGGGATAACCTCAGGAAAACATCAGGGAAACATCGGGATAACACCAGGGAAAACCTCGGGATAACGAGCAGGGATAATTCCCTGCGATGCTCCAGGGAATATCTGGGAATTCAGCCCGGAGATTTGGGAGCTTGGAATTCTGGTTTTGGTTCCTGGGATTTGCTGTTGTGGTTTCTGGGAATTCCTGCTTCAGTTCCTGAGCCTGTGGGATTTTGGGAAGGAGCTTTTCCCTTTTCCTCCTTTTCCCCTTTTTCCCGTTTTCCCTTTTTCCGGGAAAACTTTCTGGGAATTTCTACTTTAATTTGTGGGGAATTTCTCTTTCAGTTTCTGGGAATTTCTGCTGTTTTTCCTGAGCCTGTGGAATTTTGGGAAGGGGCTTTTCCCCTTTTCCCCCTCCTTTTCCCCCCTCTCTTCCCGCTTTTCCCCTTTTTTTCTTTTCCCTTTTTCCAGGAAAGATTTCTGGAGGTTCCTGCTTTGGTTTGTGGGGAATTTCTGTTTCAGTTTCTGGGAATTTCTCCTTCGGTTTCTGGGAAGTTTCTCCTCCAAATCCTGGGAATTTCTGTTTCAGTTTTTGGGGGGCTCTGGCTTTGATTTCTGGGAATTCCTGCTTCAGTTCCTGGGGAATTCCTGCTCTTCCATGTGTTTAATATTGAGGTTTTCCTTGGAAATTTAGAGTTGCTGATTCTGTGTCCCTGGGTTTTCCTGGGATTTGTGGCTCTGTCTGGTTCCTCGGGCAGGGAAACGTTGGATTTTCTGGGATTTCAAGGGATTGGTGGGATTGTGGGATATCCCGAGGCTCTGGAATATCTGGAATCTCGCAGCCTCTGGATGCCTCACCCGAATTAAAGCAAAGCCGGAAAATTTCCCGAATTTAGAGTGGGAATTTTAGTGGTGGGAGACGCTTTGGGATTTGAACGTCTTCCAAAGAGGATTCCTAATTTTTTCCTGGAAATAAAACCCATGGAATATCAGAATATTTCCATTGGGAAAGACCTCGTGGGTCATCGTGGCCAGCCTGGGATGGATCCAAGGAAAATCAGAATAATCCCATTTTTTAAGAGCCAGGCTCCGCCTGGATCCCTCGGGATCTGTGCCCGTTTCTCCTGGATATTTTTCCCAGTCGGTTGCAGGAGAATTCCCTGGGAATTCCCAGGGAATTTTGGAGTGGGATTAAAAAAAAAAAAAAAAAATCCCTGTTGGAAAAGGGCAATCCCGTTGTGCTAGGGAAGGAAAAGATGGGTGGGGAAAACCTTGGAATTTTCTGAAGGATTTGGGTGGGAAAAGGGCCCTTCCTGCCTCCCTCTCATCTCCAACTTCTCCTTTTCCCGGAAAATTCATGGAATGAAGGCAGGAGAGCAGGATTTCATGGATGAGAGAGCCCGGCTGGATCTCAGGGAGGGTTTGGAAGAGGAAAAGTGGGAAAAAGAAAAAGGTGGAGTGGGAGAAAGGAGTCGGACAGGGCGACAAAAGTGGGGTCCAAAGAAAATTTGGGAATTCAGGCGCTGCTTTCCATGGGAAAGGCTCTGGCAGCTGCGATGGGGATTTGAGGATTTTGGGATGGGATCCCAAAATTCTGGATGCCTGGAAGTGTCCAAGGAAAGCTTGGAGAATTCTGGGATGGTGGGATTGGAATGGGATTTAAAATCCATGGATCCCATCCCAAACCATTCCAGGATTCTGGGATCAAGGAGGCTCCAAATCCATCCCGAGGGATTTTTATGGAATTCGGGGATGGAAAAGGGAAGGGAGACCCTTGCTGGAGTCGGTGCCTTTGGAATGGGATGGGATTGGGATTTGAGGTCCCTTCCCACCCAAAGCATTCCAGGATTCCCGGTGCCGTGGTTCCAGAGATTCCAGCTGTGCCATTCCAGCTGTGCCATTCCAGCTGTGCCATTCCAGCTGTGCCATTCCAGGGCCGCAGCAGGAAATCCATAATTCCCTTTTTCCGTGGGATCAATGATTCCATTTGTCGCTGCCTGGCAGCGGGAGGAGGATCCATGGATTTTTCTCCGGCCTCTCCCGGTTCCAAGGGCACGGCCGCCCTCAATTCCAGGATTTTCCGGGATTTTTCCCAAAGCTGGATTTTGTAAGGTCGGGTTGGAATTAACTCTCCCCAAAAAAATAAAATCCTCTGATGTAAAAGCTGGGAATGTGGGAATGTGGGAGCTGGGATTTTCCCACCAGAGCCATTCCTGCCTCTGGAATCTGGGAATTTAACAATGGAATTCCAAAATTCTGGATGTCCAAGGAAAGCTTGGAGAAATCTGGGATGGCGGGATTGGAATGGGATGGGATCAAGCATTGAAAAAACCGGGAAAAATCCCAACAATTTGGGAATTCGAGGCAAATCTTGGGGAATTCTGCCTTGGGGAGAAGAGAATCCCAATCCCGAAATTTGGGATAGAGGGGAAGGTTCCTCCAGCCTGAATTCCCATGGGATGATCCGGCAATTCCAATCGGAGGAGAGGCCGGGAGGACAATTTTCCACGCGGGATTTTTTTTTGTCCCATCCGGCTGGGATTCAATCCCGTTCTCCCGATTTTCCGTGGATTTTCGGGATGGGTTTGCTCCCCCGCTGGTTTTTCCCGGAATTCCCGGGCTGCTAACGCTGCTGTTTTTCCCGGATCCAGGCGAATCTGAAGAAATTCATGGAATACGTGCAGATGCTGAACTCGGAGAAGGTTTGCAGGCTGCTGGAGAAGGGGCTGGATCCCAACTTCCACGATCCCGACACCGGAGGTCGGTTCCACGTTTTCCTCTGGATTCGGGAGCTCTTCCGGGAAGGAATCAGCTCAACATTCCCAATTCCTTCCCGGAATTCCTCCAGGCTTTCCTCTGGAATTTTTT